CCTGGCGCCTGGGCGGCTGCTTTTGCAAGGTACCATTTCTGAAGGGATAACTAAAATAGGGCGTCCGCACCCGGCCGTAAATCTGGGGGGAAAACCCAATAATTTTTGCACGCACGCAGTGTGGACTTGGCAGTGTTAGGTGAATGGTTGGACTGGATGATCTTAAAGGTCTTTTCCAACCTCAACGATTCTAGGATTCTAAATAAGAATGCTCCTTTTGCTACGCGTGCCCAGCCACAGGACGGAACCGAATAGGACTCTAAATAAGAATGCTCCTTTTGCTACGCGTGCCCAGCCGCAGGACGGAACCGAATAGGACTCTAAATAAGAATGCTCCTTTTGCTACGCGTGCCCAGCCACAGGACGGAACCGAACAGAAACACCCCAGGTGTTGGTAGCGGCACCGGTGTGTGCACGGGTAGACTTACTTTTCGCAAGTATACGAATGCATTCGGCCTCCTCAAACTTTAAAAACCCAGCACCCAGTTTCCAAGAGGTGGCACTGGTGCAAAATATTACTGAGCGTCGTAGTTCAGTCTTTTTTTTTTAAAAAAAAAAAATCTTTCATGTCTGAATGCCAGGGACTATTGCAAAGCGGAGTGAACGTTCGAATTGGCAGCAGGGCGTGGGGTAATTTTGTCAGTGTGTGTCCTTCCTTCGTCCACTTATGTCTTTCACAAAAGAAAATGCATTTCTCCAAATGTAAATATTTAGACCCAAGGGCAGGCACGGGATGTTGAAGCTACCTCGAGGGTGTTTTTAGTGGACTATGTTTCAGTCCGGTTTTGTCCCTGACCTGAACGGATGGAACTTGTGATCTAGTGCTTTCCTTCACTTCATCATATGCCTATAACGTAAAGCCGAAGGTAATACGTTTATTTGCACACGCTTCAATTTGCACACACTTCAGTTTGCACACACTTCGCGAGGGCGGGATGTGCACACGCATTTTCGAAGCCCCGTGTGCATTGTGTGATCCGAAATGGGTCGGTCACAGTGGCCAGCGCGTAGGGCTGAACACGGTTAGATGGGCAAATTGCAGCCAACTGCATTCTTTAGGCGTTTTCCTCTGTGTCACTGCTGGGTGCAACAGAACCGCTGACCGCTCAGGAACCCGAGCCAAGTAAATCCGAATTTTTCCAATAGTTTTCTCCTGGAAATGAAAAGAATCAGGCTCCTCAAAAACAAAACAAACAAGAAGAAAAAGGAAAGTAAAGAAAGAATGCTTTTAGTTTGCTGAATGCCGCTAGAGCGCTCTGATTTCTGGAGGGTGCAGTTGGGGGTCCCTTAACCTCCTGTTAGGATTGCACTGCCAGGTTTTACAGCCTCCGTGGAAAGGATTGGTCTAAACGTGTGGTGCCATCCTCCTCTGATCTGCCTACATACTCCTCCTATTTTTTTATTTCCTCTTCCAATGAGAAAATGCAAATGTACATTCCCCTCTTCTC